GGGCTTGGCAGGAACATGATTGTGGTGATTACTATATCATCGTTCACTGCCTTTGTCATGTGTGTTGGACTTGCTTGGCTTTGCCTTTTGAGATGCAGAGTGCCTGCACATCATCCAGCACAAGTTCCACACAACTTGATAGCCTCAACTGCAAAACCCCCAGGTAAACCAATGTTCCCTTCAGTCTCTGCACTTGTTTTATTCCTAAACTCGGTTTAGAACTCGAGCAATTTCTACAGGCACGGCTGGATCGATAATGGCTGGAAATGATCCGGGTTCTTCGTCTATACCTCTAAACGACCATCCTATGACGTATATTGGTGCGGCAAAGCACTTCGCCTTGAAAGACATGGAGAATGCCACGGATAACTTCGACTCTGCAAGAATATTAGGAGAAGGTGGCTTTGGAATTGTTTACAGTGGCCGTTTAGATGATGGAAGGGAAGTGGCTGTGAAGGTTCTTAAAAGACATAATCAACATGGTATTCAGGAATTCTTGGCAGAAGTTGAGATGCTGAGCCGTCTACACCATAGAAATCTAGTTAAGTTGATCGGAATTTGTACCGAAGATCGAAATCGTTGCCTGGTATACGAATTGGTGCCTAATGGAAGTGTTGAATCACACTTACATGGTGAGCAACGTTCTGCAAAATCTTGAGTACCTTACATGGTTTGACATTCATATTCAACTTGTCTTGTGATGATTCCAGGCATTGACAAGTTAACCAGTCGACTTGACTGGGATGCCCGTTTGAAGGTTGCCCTCGGTGCTGCTCGAGGCCTAGCCTATCTGCACGAAGACTCCAATCCTCGAGTCATTCATCGAGACTTCAAAGCTAGCAACATCTTGTTGGAATGTGACTTCACACCTAAAGTTTCAGATTTTGGATTAGCTAGAACTGCACTAGAGGAAGGAAACAAGCACATCTCAACACATGTTATGGGAACTTTTGGGTAAAAAATTTATCTGTAGTGAAGTTTCTTCAAATTCATTTACTTTCTCAACACCATCAACATTAATCTTACACAGTACATTACCTTCTGGTTTCCAGTTATCTAGCTCCAGAATATGCAATGACTGGCCACCTTCTTGTAAAGAGCGATGTCTACAGCTATGGTGTCGTCCTACTTGAGCTACTTACAGGAAGAAAGCCAGTAGACTTGTCACTTCCTCCCGGACAAGAAAATCTTGTTGCTTGGGCTCGTCCGCTTCTCACGAGCAAGGAGGGGTTAGATGTAATAACAGACCCAGCTATTAAGTCTGATATCTCTATTGATAGCTTGGCCAGAGTAGCAGCAATTGCTTCTATGTGTGTGCAACCGGAAGTGTCTCATAGACCATTTATGGGTGAGGTTGTTCAAGCCCTGAAACTCGTGTGCAGTGAGTTCGAGAAATTAACGGACCAGTTTCACAATGTTACAGCCGAGACAAACTTGTAAGCTACATGGATATTGAACTTGGAGGAATTTCAGATGAAATACTCAACGGTACCAAGACATCGCACACGTTTCCTTCAGGAAAGGAGACAAATGTAGGATTATCGGTATCGGGTTTGATCAAGGACAGGAACTGGTTTCTTGCAGATGGCATTCATCAAATTCGAAACCATCGAGAATTGGAAGGAAAAAGCACCTGCGGCAGAAGCAAAGAAGTTTGACATGGCTTTTCTGCCAAGTTTTGGCCTGGATTTCATTAGTTTATGTTCATCCATATCACGCATTGCAAACTCTTGAAGTTCAAAGCAATTGCATTTCTGAGGCCTTTAAATTGTGGCCATTTTTCTAGATCAGTTCTTGGAGTATTAATTTCAATATAATCGACATAAGCAGTAACACAGAGAGGGCCTGAGATAAGATAAATTAACACTAATCCAATACAATTAAAAGAAATGGATAAAGAATTCATTGAATAAAAGCAAACATGTTAGATCTTCTACTAAAAAGTTATTCACACTGTCATCTATCAAGATCACAAGATACATGATGATACGTACATAACTACAGATGCACAATCACTATAATCTAGCTCAGACATAAAGAACAAGTCTAGTTGAGACCAGTCTCTTTCTTCTTCTTCCCTCCCTCATTTTCTTCCAGTGCTTTAAAAGAATGAAAACACACTAACTATCAAGATAATACAAAACAAAATGGAACCAAGTAGCTGAAAGAGACTAAATATAAAGAATACTTATCATATTAATTTTTTTGTAATTTCCAGGCAAGCCAGAGATCTGTATGTCCACTGTTCTTTAAGAATCAAGACACCAGATCACTCTTTCACTAACAACTAACACTGCTTCTTTATGCTTCCTATGTTCCAGCTCTCTTTCCCAATCTATCCATTAAGATTTTCAGGCCCATGTACCTGCATACACAAAAAAAAAGGTACCCAGATGTAGTTAGCTGCTCTTCTTCATCGCTCTTCTTTCGAAGAGCGTGGTAGCCCACAAACAGATGTTGATAACCATACCTTCCCATCATCATAACAGTAGCTTGAGGATTGGTGCCTGGGGACTCACTGAATGTTGATCCGTCAATAATACGCAGTCTAGTTACACCGAGAACTTTAAGGTCATGGCTCACCACCTTGTCCACTAGACACCCTCCATGGTAGTGCCAGATTGTGATCACAGTGTCTTTACAAAACTGCTCCAAGGACTTGGTGTCATTGGTATGCTTGGGTATGAGGTTGATGTTGGCCTTCACACTAATGTTAAGCAGCTTGTCTAATGTTTCCTTGTCACACTGTGTGAAGTTCGTGAAGTATTCAGAATCCGCAATCTTTGTAAGCATTCGAACCCCTTCAACGCACCGGTGAAGATCATATGGATGATGAAAGTAGTTGAAGGTCACAGCGGGATTGTCGTCAATGTTAGTGTTGATCAAGCTCAAGTGTCCTTTCGAGAAGGGATTTGCTACTTTTTCTAGAATGAAACCTCCTTTAAATGCCTCATGGGGTATGTCTCGTTTACTTTTGATGTAAGTTTGAATGGCTTCAGGCGTTCTTTGTTTTGGAGGAATGGTGGATAGCTGCCCAATCTGGTAACACCCACAAAATTAAGTATCATACAGAATCAACATCTTTTTTACATACTTTGGTTCTACTTTGCTCACGTGCAAATATAACTTTGTTCAGCTCAAAAACCTTCATTTGAAGAGGCAAAATCATAAAATCAATTCAAAGATTGGTAGCAATAAAATATAAAGACAGTTCTTCAGTTCTCTCCACATTATTTATCTTTTAAAAGTAAAAGGGAGATGTTTAATTTACCTCAGCTGACAGCAAACCATGGTGGCAATGAATACTTTCCCGCGACTGCCCAAATCCACTGCTAGATTCAATATAAACGCCATGCTTCGTGATTCCAACTGCTTGTATAAGTGACTGCTGAACTGGTCTGTTGCTTGGAACAAAAATGGAGTTCAATGGGTTATCAGCCATGTCTTTTCCAACAAACTCATTATGTAGCACCATGGAGATGTTCCACTTTTCAAGATCATCCCTTGGACCAATTCCACTGAGCAACAGCATTTGTGGAGTCGCAATTGCCCCACTGGATAATATAACTTCACTCTGCCGCCTGCTTGATAGAAAAACTTTATGCGGATTACCAGTTTCATCCTTGAATACGACTCCAATCGCCTTCGGTTTCTTACCTGAACATTCAGAATTGTATTTATTTGATTAAAGTGTTCCCAATTGGCGTTGAACTTTCAAATTTGTGTCAACCTATAGTCATTGCACTTTATAATATCTCCATTAGTTCACATTTTTACGTAGTGTAGTGATTGCATTATATAAAGATTATGCCGCAGGCTCATTTTGGGCTATTTTCCTACTTTATTTTATCTCATCCAAAAATCGAAGAAGATTCATAATTCACACTAATTTCAAATCATCGTAAGCTGTTCTCCAAAAACTACATAACCTACTAAAATGATCAACTACCAGGGACTTATTCTGACTGACAAGTTAGTGATAACAACATAATAGCGCTACAAGCAACCCTTTCAAGACTAAATATCCATGCTGATAGTATGCAATGTAAAAAAATTCACCATAATTTCTCAATCAATTAGGCAAAGTAACGAATACAAATCCGCAGAACCGCATGCGCTTTAGGGAACTAACAGGCAAAAACAAAATCATGTAAGAGAATGAAGCAAACGAACCGTGAGTGGTGTCAAAGATGAGTCGTTGAACAGTGGCGTGAACCAGCACCATTAGGTTATCAGGATTCCCTGACGGTAAGAGCTCGGCGGTGGTGTGACGGCGGCCGAAGCGGTCGAAAATGGTCCCTCCGACTTTGGTGCCGTAGAGATGATCGTAGGTGAAGCCGTTGAAGGGCGAGATTCCGACGTCCAATAGACTGTCGGTGAAAGTCTTCTGCCAATCGGTGAGCTTTGGGCGGTGAACGATCCGCTTCTCCACCCATGAGTACGATTCATTCACCAACTTCTCATCCCACCCCACTTTCTTTATGAATCTACAAATCCCCACTAATTATAATTATTGGGACAAATAATTTTATAATTTTAATAAAAATATTGTTAAATTGTAAAAATACTTTATATTTAAAATATGCTCCTAATTTTTAAGCATTTTATTAAGTCAATTCTCATAATGAAATTAATCAATTTTAATAGGGAAAAATAAATTAGATAACAAATTAAAACATCATGATTAAATAAAAAATAGATAAAACAATAATTACCTTTTTAAAAAATTAAAATTTAATATTTACATTTATATCATTATTAAAATTAAAATTGAGATAGTAAATAAAATATTGATTATTATTTCAGGGTAAATAAGTTAATATTAAAATTGATGGAATACATTTCTATCAATATTTTTAATTAATATTTTTCAAATAAATTTTGAAGGTAGAAATGGGAAGAAATTTTAATTAACATTATAATTTGAAGGATAAAAAATGGATATTTAAAACAAAAGAAAAAGAATTTAAAAGATGGTGGGAAATGAAGAACCTTGAACTTGCTCTGGTGTAGAAGCCGGCATTAATGGCGGAACCACCGCCTAAAACCCTAGCTCTCGCGTTGATAACACCATCCGTCGAAGCGAAGGCCTGAGAAGCCGAGGTCGGAGAAGTGTCGGCGAGGCCAATGTGGAAATTTCGAAGTAAAGACACATTTGCATTCGTGAAAGGAACGCCGCCTCTTTCCAGTAGCAGCACGCTGAAGTTCTGTGATAATGTCGCCGCCAATGGACAGCCGGCGGTGCCACCTCCGACTATTATGTAATCGTATCCTTTCTCTCTCTCATGGCCGTCCCGATAGAACGAGCTTGCGCGCTTGATGAACGGGTATTGTGATTTCACCCAATTTTCCCGACCTGCACTTGCACAGTTTTTTTTGCATGTTAACAATGCGAAGAAGAGGTGATTTCGATGAAGTGAAGAGCTCGAAACTCTGTTTTTGTTTTGTGTATGGATATTTTAGGGCAAAGTAGATGAGAAAAGCCAGTGATTCTTTCTCTCTAATCCTAGAAATGTGAACCCAAACTACAATAGGTGTCGCTCTGTTTTGAAGATTTTTTAAGCAAACTTTGATCGGAAATGAATTGAAACAGGGATTTGTTGTAGTAGCTACATTGTAATTGAAGATATCAGAAAAACCAACCTTGACAAGAAGAGAGGAGGTGTAAGAGGCAGAGGAGAACAAGGAAGAGAAAGAGCTTGACTGTCCCAACCAACGCCATTGAGTTGCAGACAAGGCAAAAGACAGTAGCAGTAGCAAAGGATGCTGCTTCTTCCAAACTTGTATGTGGCTTCTCCTGGTTGGCCTTGGTTTGTGTGTGGGTCTCAGATTTATACGCAGAAAACAAACTCCAAGAAAATTATGTGTGGGTGTCTCAGATTTATTACACATCCATCTGGCGAAAAAGAAAATGAAAGAGGAAAAAAAATTATCATGTAGCTACTGTATATATGCATATTTAATGATGGATTCAATGTTACAGTTGGGGTTTTGGATGGCTGCTCGTGGATCGTTGGATGATTTCTTCTGTGATTTGATTTTCATGAATACTTGAAGACAGCTCATTCACCAATCTCCCCTTTAAACTGTATGGGTACGTATATTTATTGCTTCGGTAGCTACCAGTTGATATGGTCTAGTTTGAGTGGTTTGTAAAAAACTGATGGGTGAAAAGGGAAAGCCACTATGATATTTTATAATCTTCAGAATTATAGCCGTAAGGGGGGACTAGTTTTGAGGTAGAAAAGGCTAAGTTGAAGATAGGAGATTGGGATTTGAAAAGTGAAGTATTGGTTATATCAATTTATGGTACCGAATTTCGTTTGTTGAAGAACGAATAGCCTTTTGACAATAATAACAAGAGAAAACAAGAGATTGAACTAGTCCAAATCTTTATTTTGGAAGTTTTTTGCCCGCTCAAGTTCATGTCTAGTTCTTGATATCTTTAGAAGGAAATGACTTGATTGTATTAAAATTTTTGAACAATGGGAGGACAAAACGGATTGTTTGAGGGAGCTAATTATAAGATTATTATAGGTTTATAAGTAAGAAATACATGTCCATTTGCATGAGGTCTTTTGGAGAAACCAAAAGCAAAGGTATGAGAGCTTATGCTCAAAGTGGACAATATCATACTATTGTGGAGGTCTGTGATTCCTAAGATGGTATTAGAGATATACCCTTAATTTAGTCATGTCAATAGAATCCTCAAGTGTCAAAGAAAGAAATTGCTAGCCTCAAAGGTGTAGTCAAAAGTGGCTCATGTATCGAACAAATGGTGTACTTTGTTCGAGGACTTCAGAGGAAGGAGTCGAGCCTCGATTAAGGGGAGGGTGTTCGAGGGCTAAATAGAACCTCAGAGGAGGCTCTATGGTGTACTTTGTTCGAGGGGAGGATTGTTGGGAGGGAGTCCCACATTGGCTAGTTTAGAAGATGATCATGGGTTTATAAGTAAGGAATACATGTCCATTTGCATGAGGCCTTCTTGATAAATCAAAAAAGCCATGAGAGGTTATGCTCAAAGTGGATAATATCATACCATTGTGGAGGTCCGACTCACCTACTATTTTATAAAAGATTTGTTGAAAAGAAAAAGGTAAAAAGGAAAGAAACGATAGGGTTCCCCAGTTTCCACACGACTATCCAACCAAAGGTGCTATTTATGACTATTGGTATTTATGAATTCGTATCAGGGAAGGTGGCGTAATAGAGATTGTTGGGAGAAATTATAGGGAGAGGATGGGGCTAGAAGTTTATGATTCCTTCATGCTTAATTTTGTTCATTTATTATATAAGATTTTTATTTTTTTTTTAAAAAAAAACTGTCCAAAGTGTTATTTTGTTAATTTGTTGTTGAAAGTCAGATAGTGATTTTTTTTTTTTTTTTTTTTTTTTTTTTTTTTTTTTTTTTTTTTTTTTTTTTTTTTTTTTTTTTTTTTTTTTTTTTTTTTTTTTTTTT